GTGGTGGATTACTTGACTTCAGGAGTTTGAGACCAGCCTGGCCAACATGGTGAAACCTCGTCCCTATTAACAAAAACAAAAACAAAAAGTAGCCAGGTGACGTGCCACACACCTGTAGTCCCAGCTACTCAGGAGGAGGCTGAGGCAGGAGAATAGCTTGAACCTGGGAGTTGGAGATTGAAGTGAGCCAAGATCCCACTACTGCACTCCAGCCTGGGTGCAGAGTGAGACTCTGTCTCCAAAAAAAGAAAAGAAAAGGGGAACTGCGGCTTGGGTGCAGACATGGCCAAGTCCAAGAACCACACCACACACAACCAGTCCCGAAAATGGCACAGAAATGGTATCAAGAAACCCCGATCACAAAGATACGAGTCTCTTAAGGGGGTGGACCCCAAGTTCCTGAGGAACATGCGCTTTGCCAAGAAGCACAACAAGAAGGGCCTAAAGAAGATGCAGGCCAACAATGCCAAGGCCATGAGTGCACGTGCTGAGGCCATCAAGGCCCTCGTAAAGCCCAAGGAGGTTAAGCCCAAGATCCCAAAGGGTGTCAGCCGCAAGCTCGATCGACTTGCCTACATTGCCCACCCCAAGCTTGGGAAGCGTGCTCGGGCACGCATTGCCAAGGGGCTCAGGCTCTGCCGGCCAAAGGTCAAGGTCAAGGCCAAGGCCAAGGATCAAACCAAGGCCCAGGCTTCAGCTCCAGTTTCAGTTCCAGCTCAGGCTTTCAAAGGTGCCCAGGCCCCTACAAAGGCTTCAGAATAGATATCTTTGTCTGCCAATGTGAGGACAGAAGGACTGGTGTAACTCCCCTGGGGCTGCCATCTGCATGGGGCTGGGGTCCTCCTGTGCTATTTGTACAAATAAACCTGAGGCAGGATTAAAAAAAAAAAAGAAAAAAAAAAGAAAAGAAAAGAAAAGAAATGGTTAAACACATGACATTAGCTATTACTATGAAACACTATGCAGCCATTAAAGAGAATAAGTTAGATCTCTAGCACCAAACTGGAAATCTGTTCATGCAATTTTATTAAATTGATAAACTACATTGCAGGACAATAGTATTTTATGATTCCAGTTTTATTTTTCAAGATCCATGTATATATACTCAGAAATATGTATGCCTACATATGCATAGAAAAGTGCTGAAAAAGACACATCAAACTGTTGAAGGTGATTACCTCTGAGAAATGAAATTGATAGAATAACAGGAATATTTACTTTTTACTTTATAGGTTGTTTTAACATTTTTTTTTTTTTTTTGAGATGAAGTTTCTCTCTTGTTGCCCAGGCTGGAGTGCAGTGGCGCGATCTTGACTCACAACCTCCGCCTCCCGGGTTCAAGCAATTCTCCTTCCTCAGCCTTCCTAGTAGCTGAGATTACAGGCATGTGCCACCACATCCAGATAATTTTTTTTTTATTTTTAGTAGAGACTGGGTTTCTTCATGTTGGTCAGGCTGGGCTTGACCTCCCGACCTCAAGGGATCCTCCACCTTGGTCTCCTAAAGTGCTGAGATTACAGGCATGAGCCACCGCTTCTGGCCTTAAGTTTTTATAAACATTTATTCCTCTAAAAAAGAGGAAACTAATGTGTCTCTTCCTTTCCAATTTTATGTCATTTCTTTTTCTTACCTTATTACATTAGATTCGAATTTTGAGAGCAATTGTTAAAGCGTAGTAATAGGTGACATCTTTGTCTTGCTCCTGACTTTAGTAGTTACCTTTGGCCAAATGTGGTGGCTCACGCCTGTAAAATCCCACTTTAAGTCACTTTTTCATAAAACTTCCCTTAAGCCTTCTAGGTGAGAATTGATCTTTTACTCTACTAGTTAAATAAAACTAGCAGAAAGTGACCAAAACTTTGTTTTACCTGGCCAGGTGCAATGGCTCACACCTGTAATCTTAGCTCTTTGGGAGGCCAAGGCAGGTGGATCACTTGAGGTCAGGAGCTGGAGATGAGCCTGGCCAACGCAGCAAAATCCCATCTGTAATGAAAATACAAAAATTAGCCGGGGATGGTGGAATGTGCCTGTAGTCCCAACTAATAAGGAGGCTGAGGCAGGAGAATTGCTTGAACCCAGGAGGCAGAGCTTGCGGTGAGCCGAGATCATACCACTGCACTCCAGCAGCCTGCATGACAAAGCCAGACTTTGTCTAAAAAAAAGTAAAAGAAAAAACAAAGAAAGAAGAAAGAAAGGGCAAAGTGGTTCACACCTGTAATCCTAGCACTTTGGGAGGCCGAGGTGGGGCGATCACCTGAGATCAGGCGTTCCAGACCAGCCTGACCAACATGGAGAGAAACCCTGTTGCTACTAAAAATACAAAATTAGCCAGGCCTGGTCACGCATGCCTATGATCCCAGCTACTTGGGAAGCCGAGGCAGGAGAAGCTCTTGAACCTGGGAGGCGGAGGTTTTGGTGAGCTGAGATTGCGCCATTGTACTCAAGCCTGGTCAACAAGAGCGACACTCTGTCTCAAAAGTAAAATAATATTAAATTAAATTGGCTGGACTTGGTGGCTCATGCCTGTAATCCCATCACTTTGGGAGGCCGAGGCAGGCGAATCATGAGGTCAAGAGATCGAGACCATCCTGGCCAACATAGTGAAACTCTATCTCTAAAAAAAAAGAAAAACAAAATTAAATAAAAAAATATTTTAAAAAATAATAAATTTAAAACAACAAAAAAAGAAAATTTGGCCCGGCACAGTGGCTCATGCCTGTAATCCCAGCACTTTGGGAGGCCAAGGTGGGTGGATCACGAGATCAAGAGATCAAGACCATCCTGGCCAACATGGTAAAACCCTGTCTCTACTAAAAATACAAAAATTAGCTGGGCATGGTGTTATGTGCCTGTAGTCCCAGCTACTTGGGGGGCTGAGGCAGGAGAATCACTTGAACCCAGGAGGTGGAGGTTGCAGTGAGCCAAGATTGTGTCACTGCATTCCAGCCTGGTGACAGAGCAAGACTCCATCTCAAGAGAAAAAAAAAAAACCAGAAAATTTGTTCTAACCTTTGCCTGGTCTAGGTGGTGACATACCAAGTAAATTTGATACATTGTTTTGTATTATGTTTCTTCATATTAGAACTTCAAAAATTAGGCCTGGTGTGGTGGCTCACGCCTATAATCCCAGCACTTTGGGAGGCTGAGGTGGGCGGATCATGAGGTTAAGAGGTCTAGACCATCCTGGCCAACATGGTGAAACTCCATCTCTACTAAAAATACGAAAATTAGCTGGGTATAGTGGTGTGTACTTGTCGTCCCAGCTAGTCAGGAGGCTGTGGTGGAAGAATCACTTGAACCTGGGAGGCAGAGGTTGCAGTGAGCTGAGATTGCGCCACTGTACCCCCGCCTGGTGACAGAGCGAGACTCGGTCTCAAAAAAAAAAAAAAACCTTCAAAAATTACATATATATTATATACATATATATAATGTATATATATAATATATAGGTATAAAGTATATATAATATATATGTAAAAGGTGTGTGTATATATAACATATATATAAAGTGACATTCAAAGAAAAAAATGACAAGATGTCCATCCCTTGGCTCCCTTCCCTCCCCACTCCCACTGCTCCTCAGCCCTCCAAGATTGAACCCTGGCTGCGACTAGGTAGCAGGACAGCCCCTCAGATGAGTTCAGCAACACTGAGGGGCACATACTGAATAGGGGTGTTGTAGAAGGTCTCTGTCTCGAAGAGTTCTCTTGACTTCCTCTGTCACCATGTTAATAGCCACACCCTTATGGCCAACTGTCCACCTGACCGAGTCTGTGGATATAGTTTTCCCTGTTGGTGGGAAGGTCATAGCTGATGACTAAAGAAATATGCTCACTAAAATTAACTCCAGATGGATTAAAGACTTAAACATAAGACCTGGCACCATAAAAACCCTAAGAAAATCTAGGCAAAACCATTCAGGACATGGGAGTAGGCAAGGACTTCATGAACAAAACACCAAAAGCATTGGCAACAAAAGCCAAAATAGACAAATGGGACCTAATCAAACTCCACAGCTTCTGCACGGCAAAAGAAACAGTCACTAGAGTGAATCGGCAACCAACAGAATGGGAAAAAATTTTTGCAGTTTACCCATCTGACAAAGGGCTGATATCCAGAATTTACAAAGAACTCAAACAGATTTACAGGAAAAAAACAAACAAGCCCATTCAAAAATGGGCAAAGGATATGAACAGACACTTTACAAAAGAAGACATATATGAGGCCAACAATCATATGAAAAAATGCTCATTATCCCTGGTAATTAGAGAGATGCAAATCAAAACCACATTGAGATATCGTCTCACGCCAGTTAGAATGGCGATCATTAAAAAATCTGGAGACAACAGATGCTGGAGAGGATGTGGAGAAAAAGGAACACTTTTACACTGTTGGTGGGAGTGTAAATTAGTTCAACCATTGTGGAAGACAGTGTGGCGATTCCTCAAGGCCTTAGAAATAGAAATTCCATTTGACCCAGCAATCCCATTACTGGGTATATATCCAAAGGACTATAAATCGTTCTACTATAAGGACACATGCACACAAATGTTCATTGCAGCACTGTTTACAATAGCAAAGACCTGGAACCAACCCAAATGCCATCGATGATAGACTGGATTGGGAAAATGTGGCACATATACACCATGGAATATTATGCAGCAATCAAAAATGATGAGTTCGTGTCGTTTGTAGGGACATGGATGAATCTGGAGAACATCATTCTCAGCAAACTGACACAAGAACAGAAAATGAAATAACGCATATTCTCACTCATAGGAGGGTGATGAAAAATGAGAACACATGGACACAGGGAGGGGAGTACTAAACACTGGGGTCTATTGGGGGGAAAAGGGGAGGGCCAGCGGGGGAGGGGAGCTGGGGAGGGATAGCCTGGGGAAAAATGACAAATGTGGGTGAAGGGGAGAAAGGAAACAAAACATACTGCCATGTGTGTACATATGCAACTATCTTGCACGTTCTGCACACGTACCCCCAAACCTAAAATGCAATACAAAATTAAAAAAAAAAAAGAAAGAAAGAAATGTGCTGCACATCAATGGCTCCAGCCAGCAGGTCAGCAGTACTGAAACTCTGCTAGAGCCAGAACCAAACTCCCTTCCGATCACATCTCATTCCTTTTGGTCCGTATCTCCCTGCATGGCAGAGAGAGTGAGATAGTGAAATCTCGAGCATGCACCTTCTCAGCAAGCCAGTCCACCTTCCTTTGGGTACGGATGAAGGTGACTGCCTGGCTGATGGTCAGGGTTTCATGCAACTCACACACAGTGGGTCCGGCAACCAGCTTCAACTCCTCTCGTTCCATATTGTTGTAGAATTGGCAGATACCCTCCAGGGCCAACTCTTCCATCTTTTTTTTTTTTTTGAGACAGAGTGTTGCTCTGTCACCAGGCTGGATTGTAGTGGCACGGTCTCAGCTTGCCGCAACCTCTGCCTCCCCGGTTCAAGCGATTCTCCTGCCTCAGCCTCCCAAGTAGCTGGGACTACAGGTGCATGCCACCACGCCCAGTTAATTTCTGTATTTTCAGTAGAGATGGGGTGTCACCATATTGACCAGGATGGTCTCAATCTTTTGACCTCATGATCTGCCTGCCTCTGCCTCCTAAAGTGCTGAGATTACAGGCATGAGCCACCACACTCAGCCAACTCTTCGTTCTTGACAAGAATCCAATTGGGGTCCCTCACGAACTTCTTGGTCACCTCAAGCACATCAGAAGGCATTGTGGCTGACAGCAAAACTATCTGCGTGTTGCTGCTGAGCTTTTGGAACATGTCATAGATCTGGTCCTTGAATCCACGGCTTAACATGTGTTCAGCTTCGTCCAATGCAAACATCGTGATGTATTCGGGAGATAGGTATCTCCAGGTAAGCATATCAGACTCACAGCCAGGGGTACCCACGATGATATGGGGAGCTTCCATCTGCAGTTTCTGCACCTCAGCATGCATGTTGATGTCCCCAATACAGCGGTGACAGGAGGCACCCATGTAGTCTTCTAGTGCCATGACCACCTTCTGTATCTGCTGAGCCAATTCTCGAGTGGGGGCCAGGTCAAGGCCTGGGTGGCCTTTAGAGCTAATTCAATCTGCTGCAGAATCAATATGGAAAATGTGACAGTTTTCCCAGTCCCAGATTATGCTTGAGCGTAATCATAACCCTTGATACAAGGTAGAAGGGCTCACTGCTATTGAATGGCAGAGGGTTTCTCAAAACCATAGGGCACAGATGCCCGGGAGAACGGACTCGGAGAGGTTCATGTCATCAAAGCTGTCTACACTCTCATTACAGTTACTCCTGACGACATCTTTGGGCTCCATCCCGTGAGGGCCATTGTCTCTAGACTGGAAATCCTGACTCACAGACACGATCCTTAGAAGCTCTTTTTTTTTTTTTTTTTTTTTTTTTTTTTTTTGAGACTGAGTTTTGCTCTATTGCCCAGGCTGGAGTGAAGTGGTGCAATCTCGGCTCACCACAACCTCTGCCTCCTGGGTTCAAGTGACTCTCCTGCCTCAGCCTCCCGAGTAGATGGAACAACAGGCTCGGGCCACCACGCCTGGGTAATTTGTTTTTGTATTTTTAGTAGAGACAGAGTTTTGCCATGTTGGCCAGGCTGGTCTTGAACTTCTGGTCTCAGGTGATCTACCCGCTTCAGCCTCCCAAAGTTCTGAGACTACAGGAGTGAGCCACTGTGCCTGGCAAGTGCTGCTTTTAAATATTCCTTCTATGTCTAGGCTGACTTTCACTCTGTGAATAGCCTTGAATTTGTTTTTATGGATGCCCAGTGTTCATGACACAGGTGGATGTTATGATGCCGAGATGAGGGAGGACAGGTGTAGTTGGAGTTGCCCTCGCTGACATATTCACGCCTTGGGGAAATACAGGTACACACGTTAATTAGCTAAAATCTTCTAGAGTGAGTCCCATGACAGTTGGGTCATGATTCTCCTTTAAATGGGACTTTGATTCACATAACATTATGCCCCAAAGCTTCCTTCTCACAACTTGATAATTGCTTTCAATTGAATTTGCACACATAACAAAGTACATATGCCTATAAATTATAGAGGACAGTTTAATTCTTAAAACAACATTTTAACATTTGTGCTTGTCATAAATTTTTGTTCTGGAGATACCTTTAGAAGTATTTTTGGAGTGCTTCTGCCAGTCAGCTTATTTGCAGAATTGTTTAAACTAATGCTAATGTTACTGCAGTAATTGAAATAAATGTTTCCACGTCAAGTGCAGTGGCTCACGCCTGTAATCCCAGCACTTTGGGACGCCAAGGTGGGCAAACTCCTGACCAGGAGTTTGAGACTAGCCTGGCCAATATGGTGAAACCCCGTCTCTACTAAAAATACAAAAATTAGCCCAGCATGGTGGCAGGCGCCTGTAATCCCAGCTTCTCAGGAGGCTGAGGCAGAAGAATTGCTTCAACCCTGGAGGCAGATGTTGCAGTGAGCTGAGATAACACCACTGCACTCCAGGCTGGGTGACACAGTGAGACTCCTTCTCAATCAATCAATCAATCAATCCATCATAGGTGTTTCCATTTTGAAAATGTCTGCTGCAAAATTAAAGATTTGCAATTCAAATAAATGGGGAGATTCTTAGATTGTGGTAAGTAAAGTGGATGTTTATACTTAATTTTTTTTCAAGCAACATCATCTAAAATGTCCATTATTAAATGTTTCCTGGATGGATGTAGTAAGTTCTGTATCAGTCCTTATGAATTATGATTGATAGCATAGATGTCCTAATTCTACTTTTTCAATAGACAAGCGTTTCTTAGGATAGATCTATCATCCTAGCAACTAACTGAAGGGAAAGTGCATAGAACTGTAACACATCACTTTACTCAAGGTAAGCATGTAACAGTTTTCTGTTCAGAAAAATTGTAATCCAGGGAGAAACTTACACCTTCCCCCAAAGAGAGTTTATTGTTTTTTGAAGAATTGCTACAGAAATAAAATTTGATATCAATTTAGTGCACAATTACACAATATAGACTTTAAAATTTTCTAAATATGTGAGCTCAAGATTTATCGAGGCTAGTGCTACCTATTTGTATGAAATCAGCGTTTATAAACGTGTTTCTGATTTCTTTCTGGGCAATTTTGTTTACTTTTAGAGCATTCTTTTAAAAAAATAAAGAACTGATTTACCCAGCTAATTAAATATTAAGTAGCATGTCAGACAATAAATATTTTAAAAGGTAAAAATGAAATGATTCTTAGAACAAAGGGATGCTAATTTATTGTATGTTTATTGACTGTTATTGAACCCCAGCAACAGCACAGACCAAAGCTGTGTGCCCCATTTTATTGTCCTTTTCCGAAAATCCCAGAAATCTAACACTGGAAAAGACTTTCTGGAGACAATTTCATTTGTCTCTGGTAAATCTTCATGAGGCAAAAACCCAAACCCTTCATGCAGTTGGCTCATGTTCCCTTTGAACACTTACAGGGATGGAGACAGCCTTTCTTTTTCACCCATTTTACATTTAACTTTATTTTGGGACAGGGTCTTGCTCTGTCACCCAGGCTGGAGAGCAGTGGTGCGATCTTGGCTCACTGCAGCCTCCACCTTCCAGTCTCAAATGATCCTCCCATCTCAGCCTCCCAATCGGTGGAGCCACAGGCACAAATCACCACGACAGGCTAATTTTCTACTTTTTGTAGAGACAGGGTTTCCCTACGTTGCGCAAGCTGGTCTCAAACTCCTGGGCTCAAGCAATTCTTCCACCTTGGCATCCCAAAGTGCTGGGATTACCAGCTTTGAATGACTGATCTCGACCTATTTTTAGAAACGGGGTCCAATCTTCCTAGGCTACAGTGTAGGGTGTAGTAGCATGATCATCATTCAACGAAGCCTGGACCTCCTGGGCTCAAGTGATCCTCCTGCCTCCGTTTCCTGAGTCGCTAGGATTCCAGGCATGTGCCACCATGCCCAGCTATTTAAAAGTTTTTGTTTTCATTGTTTTATTATTATTATTTTTTTCCCAGAGGGAGTCTTGCTTTGTTACCTAGGCTGGAGTGCAGTGGCGCTCTTGGCTCACTGTGACCTCTGCCTCTGGGCTTCAAGCGATTCTCATGCCTCAGTCTGGCAAGCAGCTGGGATTACAGGCGTACACCACCATGCCAGGCTAATATTTGTATTTTTAGTAGAGATGGAATTTCACCATATTGGACAAGCTGGTCTCAAACTCCTGACCTTAGGTGATCTGCCTATCTGGGCATCTCAAAGTGTTGGGATTACAAAGTGTGAGCCATGGCGGCCAGCTGTTTGTCTTTCCTTCCTTTTTTCTTTCTTTCTTTCTTGTTCTCTCTTTCATTTATTTATTTATTTTTTAGAGATGGGATCTTGCTTTGTTGTCCTGGCTGGTCTGGATCTCCAGGGTTTAAGTAATCTTCCCAACTCGGCCTTCCCAGTAGCTGGGGCATGTGCCACCACACTCAGCTAATTTTTATTTTATTTTTTTGTAGAGATGAGGTTTCACTATGTTGCACCCGCTGATCTCCAACTCCTTGGCTCAGGTGATCCTTGGCCCCCCTCCCAACCTCCCATTCCTGCCTGGGCCTCCCAAATTGCTGGGATTACAGGGATTAGCAATCTGTGCCTGGCGGAGATAACCTTTCTTGATCAAAGGAAACTTGTTTTGGTATGAAGCAACAGAATGGTTATGAGATATCCAGGAGTCCCCAGGAAAGGCGGAAACCCCACCCTAATTATCACAAAAGCCAGGTTATTAGGTCTCTTTGTTTTTGTTTTGTTTGGAGTCTTGCTGGGTGGCATGGCCGACACTAGAGTGCAGTGGCGTGATCTCGGCTCCACTACGACCTCCACCTCACGGGCTCGAGATTCTCTTGCCTCAGCCTCTAGCTGGGACTACAGGTGCTACAAGCCCGTGCCACAGCACCCGGCGAATTTTTGCATTTTTAGTAGAGACGGCGTTTCATCATCTTGGCCAGGCTGGTCTCAAACTCCTGACCTCGTGATCCACCTGCTTCGGCTTCCGAAAGTGCTGGGATTACAGGTGTGAGCCCCCGCGCCCGGCCTTATTAGGTCTCTTTTATTGAGAAACTGAGGCCAAAGACAGGTATGGTAATTTACCCTAGGTCGCGTTTCTGGCAATTGCGGGGTCCAGGATTTACACCTAAATTGTCTCTTTCATTAACTCTGCTGCTTCTCAAATGCAGTATATATATATATTTACCTACATAAAGTGGAGCAATAAAATCAGTACATATAAGCTTAAGCCCGTTTCAAGAAAAGAGCTCCCTTGGACAATACAAATTAATGACGAGATAAGCTCATTTGAAACCTCTTTTTAAAATAATAGCGCATATTGAATTATTCAGAACCCCAAATCTCACTGTTTAAAAATCAAGGGTCACCTGGCGCTGTGTCTCAGGCCTGTAATGCCAGACCTCACCTGAGGTCAGGGGTTTCAGACCAGCCTGGCCAACATGGTGAAATCCCGTCTCTAGTAAAAATACAAAAATTAGCCGAGAGTGGTGGCGCGTGCCTATAATCCCAACTACTCGGGAAGTTGAGGCAGGAGAATCGATTGAACTCAGGAGGCGGAGGGTGCAGTGAGCCGATATCGCGCCGCCGCACTCCAGCCTGGGCGACAGAAGAGACTCCGTCTCAAAAAAAAAAAAAAAAATCAAGGGTCTCTATGTGGAATAAATTACTAATCCCCAAGACGACTGTCATCAGTAGTTCAATCCATAATTTAGCAACCTCACACAGACATCCCTCACAGGGATAAAGTTCCAGGCCTTTCTTTGGGCATCGGTTTCCAGACCTGGAGAGACTCTGGTGTGTGTGTGACTAAGGAGAATAGCTGAATCACATCTAAAAGCGAGTCCTCCCAATTAAGAATCTATAATAAAAATGAAGACAATGATAGCATTCCATCTGCCTTTTAACCTCGACAGTTCTTCCTCCCAAGCCAACAAGCCTACTCCCCTCCCTCATTCCCCCCGCAAACTGGGAAATTATCTCCGAGGCCCGAGGCAGAGGGGCGGTAAGGTGGCCGGGCCCCGCTGCCTCTCCCGCCTCCCGAGGCTCGCTCCGCACGGTGCCAGCGGGTCCCCGCGGTCGGCCGCAAGGTCGCAAAAGCGGGGGGGGGGCGGGGAGGTGAGGAGGGCCAGAGTTCAGATGGGGCCACAGGTCAGAGGAGGGGCTGGGAAAAAGGAGCCTTCCCAAGGTTACCGAAGCGTGCGGACCGCGAAAAGCGCGCAGACTCGCCGCTGGCCCGGGGGCACTGAGTAGCCGCCCGCCCGCTAGAAGGCAGCGCTGCCCCGGCCCGGCCCAGCCCCGCGCATGCGCTGCAGCCCCTCCTCCGCTCCCGGCGCCCGCCCCTCCCGCTTCCTGGCGGGTCTGGG